TACTTAGTAGATAATACTTTGTGAAACACGTATGGAATACAACACGAAATTTTACACCACTCTTCTGGTTTTATAAAGAAAAGAGTGAGTTTTTTACTCTATATTTTCGAGCCGAATATCCCCCATTACAGAACTGGTTGATCTGAATTTCGACTATGTGATAATCCAGGAATGGTGTTTTATCTCAATACGTCTTGTATCGAACGATTTTTCACTTGGTGTTGATCATAGCAGATTTTTTCTTAGTTCTGAATTCAGTGAAGTAATTTCTATCCTTACCGTATCAAGTTTTTGAAAATTTGATGGATCCAAAGACCTAATATGCTTAGTTAAGAACAACGGTGCACCGATAAGTCGTGTGTAGTTACTGGAAAGCTTGTTTTGCAACAGCACAGTACTAGTTTGATTTATCACCTTACTATTGATGAAAAACATTCATACCTGATTGGTAATGTCAATGCTTTAAGGTTTAAGCCATTCCGTCATCTTTATAACAAAATGTCGTTTCTCATCTTTCTAGTACTTAAAAGCCTTGATCAAAACTTTCTGATAATTTAAGTTCATGCTTAATTACTTGTGTTTACTTTCCTATTAATTTATCGTCATTTGTAATGTGCTACGCAAAAGGCAGTGACAAGATTTGACATCTAAACTAGGCACTTTTTTGTATTGAATTATGACGATCTTTTTTTTTTAATAACATGTTATTATAGCCTATGTTTGCACTAATTTTTCTTACTTTTCTGCTGACGCAAGACTTTTTCTTTTGCTATCAATACGTTGATGGTATTAGAATCTGTCTGGCTAAAAAGAAATCAATATAAGTAGTTATACGGTCAAAAAAACGTTTCACGCAAAAACATGGGTTGTGTGAGCGCGTTACCAATTTTTTTTGTAAACAGAAAGGAATATCTGAAAAATAAGTCGACTGTTGGATACCTCGTAGAAAGTTAACGAAGGATTCTGAGCGATTACGGGGAAATTCTCTGCAGTTGTAGCGTAAAATAAACTAAGAGCCCTTTTTGGTAACGCACTCACGCCAAAATTTATCAAGCTTTAAACTAACCTTCATTTTCTTCCAACAATCATCGATCAGATGAATTTTGTATAAGACGAAAGCTCTAACTTTGCACATTCAGAATATGTACTACTGCTCTAATTTCAGTTGCATTTTTAACTATTTTCAATCATTTTCTTTATAGGTGCGAAAAAAGTAAAAAATGTTTGAAAAACATATCAAGTCTCTGTCGTATATATTTTCTTCATCTGTTGGAAGAAAAGATAAAACAAAATACGTTTCCTAGCACAGTAAGGTGTGCCCTATAATACGATGTTATTAGCTTCTACAAATATTCAGCTTCTACTTTAATCACTCCGGTTGACCGTTAGCCGGACAAGCCCTAGAGTAATCAAACAAGATGTGCCTGATCAGTCTGTTCATATCATTGATATATCAAAGACACCAATATCCTATTCCAATGATCGTTTCATCAGTGACTCTCCTGGCATCACTATGGTGGATAAAGGGTTAAGATTTTAGCTGACTATGTTTTGAAGGAAGTTTTGATAACAAGAATAATTTCAACGACGTCAAACTACTAGTATTTTTTGATAGAACTGATATGAATACTTGATTGAACATATATCAAATTTAACAAATAAACAAACGGTTTGAAAAATAGTCGTACTCAATGCTTAATATGTAAACAGGATAGAGTAGAAAAAATTTCATATAGATCCGGAAAACAATATGAAATCACCATGCTATAAAGGAATGTATCAATTCCAATTCTGATTTTTAGCTTGAAATTGATTTTGAAATAATTATTAATTTATATAAATATACGCAAAATTAATAATTTTACAATAGTCAATGCCAACCAAGTCTAATAATTCGAAATGATGCATTCCGAATGCTATAAATTATAAGAATAAATTCTAAATAACAACTTTTTTCTAAGCTAATTGATTCTTTCAAATCTTTTCATAAGAAAATTGTGTTAAGTAATTTGTTGAACAACATCTTCTAATCTGAAACGACGTAATGACATGAAATAATTGGACTAAATATATATCATTGAAGGATAAAGTCGGGATTAATTAATTAAAAACTATCTATGATGGAAAAAATTTTAGTTCAAAGAATAAATTGACATGAAGTTGTATTTGAATAGATCTTGAGATAAAGAATACTCGATGATGAAAAGAAAACACAAATGATATTCTCTTTAATAAATGAGGACACTTTTATTGTCTGACAAGCCAGTGCATCCTGTAGAATAATGATGAATTATTAACTAGTCATAAATATTTTTTTTTCTTTTATACTTTTCCAATTAAAAATAAAAGAACGAAACTAGACCAATTATTTTCAGTTCAGCAAAGATAAATTGGCAAAGACGATCGACGAATAAAGAAAAGGTTACGATCTTTTTTTTTCATACAGCAACCGCTTCTAACAACGGTTGTTTACTTGGTGAAATATGTGTGAATTTAAAAAACAAACTTTGGTGTTATATTTCAGATCACAAGGTAAAAAAATGTTTATTTAAATAGAGAAATCTATTATCAAACGAGATATTTCAATCATAATTTTAAGATTCAAATTATTTTGATTTACTTTTCTTAATCAAAAAAAATTGACCTAGACTTATATCTGCTAACAAAAGTTTGGTTTTTTCCCATTAATAATGAGTCATTTGAAATTAGAAAACAATCTTGAAAATCATAATTCAGTTATGGTCTGAAGTAGCCAACATTAGAGATTTTGCGATTTTTTGCCAAGGGGGAATATCTTTCTGCTTATAGGATACAAAAAGAAAGTTTCCTATAATTGGGAGGAAAAGTTACACCTCCGACATCCTCGTCCCCCGATCGAATCATCGCTGTCATGATTATTTTAACATCATCATAATATGTTGCCGTAAAACTGTAATACTTCGGCAACGATCAACCAATAGTTCGAACTTTTTTCAAAATATTCATAGCCCATTAGGATCTACATAATGCATAGAGTTTTGACTCGAAAGTGACTTGATACTTGGATATATTTCCTAGTCAGATCGATCTACAAAATTGAGATGCGAACAATTTTTAGAGCATAGATATTTTAGGTTCTATTACACGAAAAACATTTTCTTCAGCGAAAAAAAAACTTTAGCACATGTTTAATGCTAAGCCTAGTTTTTCGTAAACCAACAATAATTGGAAGCAGTTTCATACACTGTTTAGTGCAGAATTTAATGGGCTATATTTTGTTATAAAGCACTCATTCTGATATTAAAATATGAATTAATTATTGTTTTCAATTTCTAAGTATTCCATGAGCAAGAGCATTAAAGATTTGAGAAATTTATGTAATTATTATTTGAAAATAGACCCTCTTGATAAGACTTTCAGAGTGTTCTTAGTTTTAACTAGTCGAAAATGCTCATTACTGTCAAAAAGTCAACTACAAATCTAGAAAAACTAGTGCCTTTTGAACAGCACAACTTCCTCTTTCAAATAGCAGATTATTACTCTTTGAACAATGTTTTGCGTAATTTAGATCATAATTTCCAACCATTTTACTGTAATTTTACAGTTCATAATTTGAAAACGTTGTAACACTTGAAAAGAATATTGTATTGAAGACGGAAACGTACTATTTGAAAGAAAAAGTTAAAACTGAAAATACTCTAAAAATCTTATCAAGATGGTCTATTTTCAAATAATAATTACATCATTTTCTTCAACTTCATAACAAAATGTAGCTCATTAAATTCCACACTGAATGATGTATAAAACTGCTTTCAGTTATTATTGGTTAAAGAAAAAACTAGATTAAACACTAAAAATATGCTAAACTTTTTTTCTCCACTTTCTCTCGAAAGAGAAAAGCACATGAGTTCTGCTTAAAATTTATAAAAAATTCTAAAAAGTGTAGAATTATAATTCAAAATCATTTTTTAATATCGTCAAAAATAGCAAGTCCAATGTTTTAATGCTTATAAAATGTTTATAATTCGAGATAGATCATGAATGTTAAAATTACAAATTTTTCTTACATGTAATTGTAAATAAAAAAAGTGATATTTGATAAATATTTTAAACAATATCTATCTGTCATTGAAAGAAATTTCAGTATCTAAAAATTGCCTTTCATGTGATTAAAATTCATCTGTGTCTGAAATATTTCATTGACTTTGTTTTAAAAAGGTTAATATTAGTTCATGAATTTTATCATTCTAAGATGAAATAATACTTAGGGTTGACCAAAAGTTTTGGTCACGGTGTTTAAAGGATCTTGTCGGATAAAGTGACCTATTCAGAAATGAAAAACCAAATATATCATGTTGTAGAGATTTTTGAGGCGTGTCGAATGGCATATAGTAAATCTTGTTTTCATAAAATTTTAAAGGAACTAGAGTCAATTTATTGATAGACGACTACACACTCATGCCCACCTACAAGATGGCCAAAGATGCTACGTATATGAGGTTGTAGCCTGTCAAAAACTCTACATAATCATATTTGAGAAAAAATATATTCAATAATTTATCATGCTTGGGTATGGGTGAGTAGTCGTCTATCAGTAAATTGACTCTAGTTTCTTTAAAATCTTATGAAAACAAGATTTACTATATACCATCCGACACGCCTCAAAAATCTCTACAACATGATATATTTGGTTTTTCATTTCTGAATAGGTCATTTTATCTGATAAGGTTCTTTAAACACCATAGCCAAAACTTTTGGTCAACTCTAAATTCATGCTCAACAATGAATTTTTGTAAAATCTTTAATTATAAATATTAGTATTCTTTTCATTTGTTTTTAACAAGATATACTTATCTTCGTGCTAGTTAACTAATGAAGGCACAGAAAGATGTTCATTTATACTTTATCACGTACAGAATCCTCGAGCAAATGAAATAACGTACATGTCAATAGATAAAATTCTAATTTTATTCTAAAAAAAAGTTTGCTTTCATTCAGTTATAAAACAATAATTATTTACAATGAATGCAAGTAGTCAATCAACAATTGAATATCTTAATTTCATAAGATTTCAATTAAATCGTTATATTCCAATAACATGTCTTATTCTTGGAAGTATTGGTCATATATTAAATATATTAGTTTTTACTCGTCCATTAATTCGAACAAATCCATGTTCAATTTATTTTGTTAGTGGTAGTATTGCAAATTTTCTCTTTATGTTGGTTTAATAACACCTTTTCTTGGAACATATAATCTTGATCCAACACAAATATCTAATATTTTATGTAAAATACGTTTTTATCTTCGTTATTCAACAATTACACTTTCAACATGGTTTATTCTCTTAGCATGTATTGATCGATTATTTTCAACTTCTAATAATGTTAATATTCGATTATGGAGTTCAATATATTTAACTAAACGTATTATAATTTTAGCTACTGTTATTTGTTTTATTTGTCCTTATACACAAGTATTTTATTGTTATAGAGTATCTCAAGGCGTATTGTGTACTTTGACAAATCAAACATGTAAATTATTAAGTGAGATTATTTTACTTATATGTAATTCTGGTTTACCACCTATATTAATGATATTAATTAGTATATTAACAATTCGTAATGTTAAATATTCAAATCATATTGTTGGTGGTAGTCGTCGTCGAGATGTACAATTAATACGATTATTATTTATACAAGTATTTTCTTTTATTCTATTTGGTATACCAATAACAGCACAAAAAATTTATTCATTTTCAACAATTCTTATGATAAAAAGTTCATTAACAATAGCTATTGATAATCTTATTAATCAAGTATCAACTGAAATTTCTTATATTAATAATAGTACAATATTTTATACATATTCATTAACAAGTAAAAAATATCGAAAAGAAGTTTTTCGTATTTTATTATTATTATGTACACGTTATCGAAAGATTAAAATATACCCTAAAGAATCTATTGGTTCGACAAGAATAAATCAAAATAAAATAATTGAAAAAATACCTAATAAATCATATAAATTGAATATTCGAAATAGAACTGAAATACTTTGAGGATAAAAAAAAAGAACTTTTTTGTTTATATATATGTTGTTTCGTATTCAATAAAATGAAATATTTCGTGTAGCATATATTTAATTGATACGACAATATCAATTATTTCACTTGTATTCTATTACATTAAATAAAGTGTATTCAAAAAGTTTTTTCTTTTACTCCGATTGATCAGTTTTATATTTCAACTAAACTTCATTGTTATGTAAGATGATGACATCGAGTCTCTTTTATGACAAAATTAGTATTCTTATTGTTGTTGTTGTTGTTTTTTTAAAATCTCTTTTATCATAAAAATAATATATGGTAGTGTCATTTATATTTTATATTATATTGCCTAAGTCCTATCAATAACATTGAATTATTTGTTACTATAAAAACACTTGTATGACGACTATTCTATATTTTTCTACCATTGAAATTTGTAATTATCTTTTTATGAATACCATCATTACCGATAAATAATTACTCGTTGTTTTTCGATAGAGATATGACATTGAATAATAAATCGTTTATTTGTTAAAAAAACAAAAAACTTAAGTATATCGATAATAAAAAAAGCATGCACCTATAAATAGCAATGAAAACTCGTTTCATATTTGGTGTGCCAAAGTTCAGCATTTACTATAGAGAACAGAAGAACAAAATATAATATATTCACATCTATCATAGATTGACGATAGGTTAAAAGACGAAAGCATATAACAGGTGTCTATTTGCAAACTGCATATGCCTCGAATAGATTGTAGGTATATTGTTGACAGTAACTATTTAAATATTTTGATATTTTCTTTTCGTCATCGAGAAATAGTAATAATTAGACTGTTTATATTAATCGCTCATTTTATCAGACGAGAAGCATATTTAATTTCTTGTTTTTATAAGTTATTACGTAAAATTTTTTATTACCATACAAATGATCATTTTAATATTACACTATAGTCAAAGACCATAAAGTTTATTGAAGATTAATTAATATGAAAAAGAAATTAATGAAATAATAAGACTGGTTTTTTTTCAATAGAATTGATCAATATAAAATCTTTTTTTTTATTCTTTCTTTCTTTCATACTTGTTCATACAAGTAACGTAAGATAAAATAAAAGACTCTTCGTTTTTAACTGTAACCACTTATTTCAAGGGTGAGTGAGAAAAAAAAAAAGCACAAAGTAAAATGACAATACTCTACACTCGATTATAAATAAGTCGAAAACATAATTTTTCTGCTTTATGGCATATTATAGACTTTGTTCTCTTTTTTCGCTATCACCAATCACTTTGCATGTAAAAAAAACCAGACCAGAATTCTGATTTTTATCGATTTTTGATACCAAAAAAATCGATAAAAATGGTACGATTTTCATCCGATTTCTAATCAAAATATCTAATGTTTAGTCGTTGTTCTTCCATAGGTAATCTATTCTTCGTTTTTCATCGATTTTAACATATTCTTACCTGTTAACTGTTTATAGTATATTTTCACTTATTAACCATTTATAATCTACTCATACTTGTTAACTTTCGGATTTCTTATGCTTACAAATCATGCAGTTGCCACGAAATTAATTACTGGACAGATACTATAATCGGTCACTCATGAATCTAGTGTGATCAGTTTATCTACGTGAGTGTGGGCGTGTGAGGATTGTAATGAGCGTGACCGACGAGAAAGAAAATATGCGTGTCCACATCCAACATCATTTAATCTTTTGAATTACTTTGTAGAGAATATTTTGAACTTTCAGAAAATGTGGAGAGTATCCTGTACAATCAAACTTCTCTTGATAAATTTTGATGATCTTTTGAGCTGATAAGCATGGCTGTTTTTTTGTTCTACAATCTAAAAACATTACCGAGGATAGACAGATTAAAATTAATGATTAGCAATGATATCAAACGATAGAGAAATAAATGGTGCTATGTTTTGGTGAAAAATCATTGTCAAACTCAATTTCTCGTAAGGTTTTCATTTTTATTTCGCATACATCTGCATTGTAATAAAGAAAAAGTAAACATAGATTCTTTTTTTCAAACATGTGAAAATTAGAGTGTGGATCTAATTGGATTCAAGAGGATATCTGTATCCAAAAACAAAATTCTTTCATCATAAAAGCAATTTAATTGTTAATTTTAAAGTTCAAGATCTTTATTTTGTTGCAGGAAGTCGACGAATAGCATCTTTAGTTTTCTTTAGACTTTCATGGTCAAGAGGACGAAATTTTACATTAAGTGTCAAGGCACGTTCAAAATAGTCAAGTGCCATCTTTTGGTTTTTCTGTTTTTCTTGAGAAACGCCAATATTATTCAAAGTGTCAGCAAGATTGGCATGACCTGATGGATAAAGTTTTTCATAAATTGTTGACGCTTGTTGATAATATTCGAGAGCTTCATTATGTTTTTCTTGATGAGTAAGAATCTTACCGATATTGTTTAGACTTGTCGCAATATCAGCTTGATCGGATGGATAATATTTCTCTTAAATTTTCAATGCCTTTCGATGACATTCGAGAGCTTCATCATCTTTTTCATGTCGATGAAGAACATTACCCATGCTATTAAGAACATGAGCTGCAACTTTTAATCGGTTTGATCCATCTTCCATCATTCGATTATATGCACGATTATAATATTTTTCAGCTTCTTTCCATTGACCTTTGAAATCAAGAGCTCGACCAATATTAAATTCAATCCAAGAACGATCTTCATTATTTGATTTATCTAATAATTGTTCAAAATATTTTTGTGATTCATCATATTCACCTAAATCACATAATAATCTACCAACAATAATTGAATCACTTGTTTCTTCAATTTCTTTTCTTGTTGATTCAAGAAAATCTTTAGCAATTTTTGGTCCTTCATTTGAAAGTTTCATATTAATTATTTGAAATGATTTATCTTCTTCAAATGATTTAATTTCAAAACAAGCATTTATATCAAATAAAACTTCGACTTCTTTTGGATTATCACTTAATTCAGTAATATCAGCAAAAATAATATTTTTATCAATTTTTTCAATATTAATTTCAATATGAAATAGAACACGAACGATATCATTTCTTTTTGAAGATTTATTTGCATATTCACGTGCTTGTGATTCTTCTGGACTAGTTGATAAATATCCATTTGTTGAAATAAGTTTTCCTTGACTTTGTTTTAATCTATTAAATGCTTTTGTATCAAGTACAGCTCCTCGATAAAGATGTAAAAATTTTTCTTTCGACAAAAAAATCTTTTCATGTTGACGTCGAAGATTTTCCGATAAATCACAAATAAAAACTCGAAATGCATGTATTAATTCAATACTTTCAGTTCGTAATACTTTATTAACTATTTTATATAAAAATGATTTTTTCGAATACCAATAAACTGCATTTTCCGATCGATATGTTTGTTCAAATTCTTCAATATTTTTCATTTCTTTTCGATTTCGACAATAATAATCTTTACATAATTGAATCATTTGTTCTTTTGCTTGTTGATTTCTTGGTAGACGAGCTATAATATAATTAAATATTTGATACCAGAGAAATGTTGATGATTCTTTCGATAAATCTTTTGTAGATTGTTCACCTTTCTCAAAAGAAGAAAATGTTTCTATGCGTTTATTAAAAATATCAAATGCGTCTTCAATTGTTTTACATAAATCATCGAACTCGGTATAAATTCCAACAATTTTATTGTATTCAGTTAATAAATATTCATGTCGATCTTTCAGCATACAAAAGATAAAGATCGAATCAACTTGACTCAAATCTAATACTTGAGATAAAATTTCTGGTACTTGTGTTCCGGATGTAGGTGGGTGTGGGTGTGGGTGTGTAAGTACAGATGTTTGAAAAGATACACCCACCCACACACCCCACCCACACCCACACCCACACCCCACACCCCACACCCACACCCACACCCAGCTTTGAAGATGATGGGTTAACAACTGCAAACTATCTTTTATTTTCTAAAAATAAATCATTTAAGTTTTTCTTTTTATATATTCGAGATTCCTTAACCACTGTCGAAGACGAGGGTGATCAGCAGGTAATGATCGTTGTCCAATATCAACAGCTTTTTGATGAAACTGACATGCTGTTGAGTATTGACACATTTTGCCATACACATAACCAATACTACTGTAAGTTTGAGCCAAATCAGGATGATTTGAAGGAAGTATTTTTTGTTGAATTTCCAATGCTTTGTTGTGAGATGAAAGTGCTTTCGGAAACTCTCTCATCTTTTCATACACAGAACCAACGTTATTGTAAGTATAAGCTAAGGTAGGATTATCTGAAGGATCTTTATTTTTTCGAATCTTAAGTGCTTCTTCATGAAATGAAAGGGCTTTTGAGTATTCACCTATTCCTTCGTAAATAGACCCGATTTTACTGAGTGTAGACGCTAAGCCAAAATCATTTGAAGAAAGTATTTGTCGTTGAATTACGAGTGCTTTTTCGTAATACATAAGTGCTGCTGTGTGTTTATTCATCTTTTCATATACTGAGCCAATTTCATTAAAAGAAGCAGCAAACGAAGCATGATTTGTAGGCATCACTCGTTGTTTTATTTCTAGCGATTTTTCATAACATGCAACGGCTTCTTCATATTTTCTTTGACTTTTTTTACTCCATCCTAATTGATGATAGAAATATGTTTTCTCACGATCATTATGTGATTGATCAACGAGATATTCGTATAATTCATTTGCTTTATCGAATTGACCAATTTTAATTAGTAATTTTCCGAGCTGATCCCATTCAGTGGTTCCTCGAATTTCATGACGTATTCGTTCACTAAGTTCATTTAGTTGTGGATCGTTGTCGTTCGTCTGTATTAGGTCTACCTGCCATAGACGCTTGTCGTCGTTTATTTCTCTTGCATCACCAATCCGAAAAACTGTATGCATCGAAAATAGAATTTCATCTTCTGTCTTGTAATAACTTACATCGTTGATAGAAGCAAAAGGCGTAGACTTTATTGCAGGATCAATTTTCATTATGAAGACAACTCCTGCTGAGGCTGGATTAGCAAGACAACTATTAGCAAAACCAATAGCTATACTTAATTCTTTGGTGGTAGATAAAAAATTGTTAAAAGATATCAGTCCACCTTTTGTTTCCCGCATTTTTTCTAAGTCTGTTTTCAGTAAGCCTTGACCCCGATAGATAATAAATTGCTCTAATTGATGGTATTCACTAAATTGTTCAGAGTGTAGTTGTACGATTTGTTGGTGAAGATCGTGAATAAAAAAACCCATTTTAATCAGAGTATCAACTTCCATTAGTCGTAAAGCTCGATTAAGTACCGAGTAAAGACAACACTCAGGAGTATACCACCAGATAGGCGAATGATTAGCATAATCTCTTTCAAATTGCTTGATATTATTCAACTGAACAACATTATCCACAAAATTTTCACGATAATAATTAGTAAAGTCTTCAATATGTTGTTGATTGAAGTTAATTGCCAATAAAATTTCTTTCAATATTTGTGTATACATAAAGGTTGAATCCAGTTGATCCAAATTTTCATTTAATTTCCCGATATGTGTTGATACAATACTAATCGACACCGAATCTTGATCACATTTTTGTGAATCTTGTTTAAGAGTATGACTAATGGACGAAATTGAAGAAAAAATGTCTTTTACTTTTGACCATTTTTGTGTCCATTTTTTCTTTTGTGATGCATTTTTTGAAAAAATATAAATGGCATTGATTTGAGTAAAATCATTCACAATTGGCACAATATTTTCATCTAACTCATGTGAAATAATCATAAGGACTTTTTCATCTTTGATGTTAGTAATAGAATCAATACATTCATCAACATCAGTAAATGTAATGACCGTATTAACAATTCGTCTTAATTCGGTGATTGAATTATGAATCTCATTATCATTCATTTCGTCGATGTCTGAATGTAACCAAATAAGAATAAAATTTTGAATGATACGAGAATTAAAAGGACGACCGGATTTTGTACTAGTTTGTCGAGACATTTCTGTTGTAATTGAATTCTCAGAAGACTTCGTCTGTTTTCTAGTCCTCACTATGCCGATGAGATCGTAATTTTCTATTTCGTGCTTGAGATCCATATTATATTCAATCTATGTCGTCGAAATGAGTAGTTGAAAAACAAATGACGACAAAAGAAAGTAAAAAAATTTCTTTTTCTTTTTTTGTTGTTGTTGAAAGACTTCATCTGTTTCTTATTCAATATTTGTTATTTTTGTGTCAACCATGCTAAAAAGCAAAAGAATTTCATGACAAAAACATCTTATTTTTTTTCATTTCTCTTTTCTTTGAAGAAACTATCGAAGAGAATGATTACTCATGTTGGAAAGAATAATATTGTTATCTACAGCTACACCCTCAAGAATAAAGATCAAAACCAAATATTTAATAAATAAAACTAAATACCTGTTTGGCATTTGGAAAGCTAATAACTTGTTTTCTAGATGGATGTTTTTCTTAGGGTGTGGGTGGGTGTTGGGTGGGGTGGAGTGTGAGGTGTGGGTGTGGATGTGGGTGTGTGAGTGCGGATAAACAGAACTACACCCACGCCCACACAGCCACACCCACCCCACCAATCCACACCCACACCCACCCACACCCTTCATTTAATTGACTCATAACTTCCATACGAAGTGATCCTATAGGCTTTGATTCGTCTGTTCGTTTGATTCACTTCTGTCGATAGAAATGAATAAGAAAATGCTGTTGATCTACGATGCAGTAGAAAGCGCAGTCTGATTGGTTCAGAATTTTTACATGCACTGAATCATATTTCTTTGACTCACATGTCCAATTCATTTTGCACGAATGCTTTGAAAGACGTTCTTAACTAATAAAACAACAGACGTGAATTTTATTCGATTATTATTCAAAGTATTTTCCTAACATAAAAATTCTTGTAACCGAATGATAAATTCATTTCGTTACATGAAACTTGCTAAAGAATGAGTGAATCATCAAAGAACTTCCATGGTCTACCATACTGTCAATTTTTGTAAATAAAATTTGAGTTGCAAAATTACAACAACAGTGTTCTCATTATATAAAACAGCAACCTACATTGATGCAAAATATACCAATGTCTATCGGACATATTGTGCCCTTACTCACAGTACCTGTTGAGCTTCTCTACCGTATTTTTGATTTTCTTGATGGAAAGACAATTATTCTTCCACTTCGTAATGCCTGTAAACAGCTCTTTGCAATCGCGAATGCTTACGATCGATATGTGTTCGACTTTAGATCGGTAACGGAGTCGGATATTCAATCTATTTGTCGTTTTATTCAACCAGAAAATGTTATTTCACTTAGTCTTAGTGATCAGTCCAACATATCGAGTACAATCAAATTATTTTTGTCACTCGTCAACATTCGTCAATTCACTCGACTTCGTTCACTGACTCTTATTAATATTAAGGGAGACGAATTATCCGAATTTTTGCAGCATGCCATGGACTGTTCGCTCATTTCATTATCAATAGATCCGTGGGATCATTATAGTAGCCAAATTTTGATCTTCTTTTCGTCGATTTTAGCACAACCGACTCTTCGTAAGTTCGAATCGCAGCAACCGAATTATGTCAAAAGGCCAATATCGTGGTCTGTGCAATCCTATGTATGCCATCTCACACTTCACGTATGTTCAACCACACAATTTTTCTCTATACTCCGACATTTCGCCCACTTAAGAACATTTGTAACAAAAGACTTCGTTAATCAAAATACCAACCAGAATGATTTAATACCACATTCGCTATTATCATCTCTGGCACTCGGACATTGCTTTTATGATTCAATAGATGATATTAAATCAATTCTTGAATATACACCTTCCTTAGTCCATTTTCAATTGAAGCCATACCTTATTGGGAACGACAATCTGAAGTTTATGTCATTTGCCAATGGCTCTGTATGGGAAGAATTTATTCAGGCGAAGCTGCCTCTTTTGAAAAAATTCCAATTTATATTCAAAGATGAGTTTCGTGATTGTATCCCACCTACAACTAAATCACTAATGGTCCCATTTCAAACACCATTCTGGCTTCAACACAAGCATTGGATTGTCCATTGTGACCAAAAAACCTTTAGAAACTCAACTGAAATCAAACTCTATGTAATACCATAGTACCACTAAAAATACTATTTTTCGTTTTTGTTTTACATTTTGTGCTTAGAAAGGATTCTGCAAATAGGTTTTTTACTTAGTTGTTCCATAGATTATAATTTCACTTCAAACAGTTCATTTTAATATTCAGATATATTTAGAAATATTTCTAAAATTTCGTACTGCCTATTATCTTCTTCAATTGTATTTGAAAATAATGATTGAATTAGGGTGTGGGTGTGTTGGTATGGGTGTAGATGTGTGTCGGGGTGTATGGCTGTGAGTGTGAATGTAGGTGTGGGTGTGAGCGTGAATTTGTGGGTGTTGATCTCTCCCCTCTCTAGGATGTGGGGTATGGGTGTGGGTGTGCAGTCAGTGTGTGTGGATGTTGTCCTTTTCTTCATCACTATACCCAGACGCACACCCACACCCACACCCACCCACATCCACACCCACATCCACACCACACCCATACCCACACCCACCCACATCCACACCCACACCCAGACCCACACCCCACACCCAGCCACCCACACCCACCCACTCCCACACCCACACCCACACCCACCCACATCCACACCCACACCCACACCCCATACCCAGCCACCCACACCCACACCCTAGTATTGATTGACATGAAGATATCTATCAAAAATCGAAATACAATTCATATCCCACTGATATTTGATACCTTCTATAATTCAAGACACAATCAGGAATATACCAATTGCCCAGTAATCAGCGTCGTACATACGAAATTAATCCTTCTACAGATTCGATAGTAAAGAAAATTAATCAAAAGTTATATAATTAATTAACTATTTGAGATATCAGTTGTAAAAAAATTGATCTACATTAATTTATTAATCATCGAATCAATTATTGTTTAATAAATAGCTTTCAGTACTATTTATCAATTCAAACTATTGTCCATTTCAAAGATAAACAGCCCTGAGTATTTCTTGAATGACTCCATAATAACAAAAGATAAAGAACGGATATT